CCCGCCGGCGCGCCAGAGGCGCCACTCAGGCCTGCACGCGGCCGTGTCATTAAACATGAAGCCTCCAGCTCAGGTACGTTGTGGCCTCTTAACAGCAGCTGGATCCGAAGGGCTGTCTGCCGACACCGGTAACGAGTTAATCATCCCCTAAGAACTGGTTTGTGCTTCGCTCCCACCCTCCGATCCGATACGCAGGGAAAACGGCCGCTCACGTGAGGGGCTGCCCGCCGGGCTCTGCGGCCCCACCGAGGCTGTGCAACTGCTAGGAGCAACCGCAGAGTCTCGCTCATCTCTGCGTCCCTTCCCAGCTGGTAAAGCCATTCCCGCTGAGAGATCCAAATCTTTCGAAGTGGAAAAATACAATGACTCAGTTCTACTATCACGTCTGCAAATGGCTAATTAGAAAAATATTTTAATGGTGTGGACATCAAACGTATTCAGTTGCTGGTTTAGCCATCAACAGAAAATCCTTCTGTCAACCTCACCCTTCACGTGGGTTTTCATTAAAGCTACTAGTATGCAATAATTTTTAATATTAAGGAAATGCCTTTATTGTGAATACAATACTTAATTCTTCAAAAGTGGCCAACAAACTATGTTCCATATTCATTCTGGACCTCCACGCTGTAAAAGAAAAGCGGACCATTAAACACATTCCACCAGAAGTACAGGAAATGGGGTTCAACTCTTCCTTTCCACTGTTACAGACTAACAGACAAGAGTTCTAGTTTTCATTTCTAATTTAGACGTTGCTTTTTCACCTAGATAAGAATACGCGCCGAGTGTCAAATATCAGCATCTACCAGTAACAGCTCCATTTTTTTTTCAGGGGAGAATACAAAAAGATCAAGCCCTGCAACCAACAATTACAGCCGCTTCCACTTCTCCCACTCTGAAGAAACCTGACTCTGACTTTCGAAAGGTCTGACAAAGTAATAGTGAACACAAGTTTGAGAGTTATATTCACTGCCCAAATTCCAAAGTGCAAAGTAAAAACAAAGCTAAGGTGAGCCAGTACAGTCTTCATGAGACATCAGGAAGGTATTCCAGTCATTATTTTGCCACCAAAATTATTTTACGAAGCATCTCACTCTTAGAAGATTTATGATAACGTCAAGCAGTGTATTACCACGTGAAATAACTCATTTTATTTCTAATTCTAATGCCCTACCCACATACATGCAGGAAAAATGATTTCCTCTGCTGGCACGATTACACTGTAGGTGTCCTTGCCATTTAACAAAGCTATGCAAGCGTGTTTTCATTTCAAGCTCGCACTCATCTTACACGTTCTCCAAATCCTGTGCATTCTCCCTTTTTAAGCATCAGTGTTTACAACTGAAATCTGTTACAGAACAAAAGCATGTTCTTCTTGCCTCTCCTGCACAATGCCATATTTGCCAATATTGCAGAAAATATTTCTATCAAGTTTAAGAAAACGTTTCCAGTGCTAGCAATACAAGAGTTCACTTACTAATAAATAACTTACAAAACCTAGCTGGAGAAATATTTTGGACTTCAATCACCTGGTAACTGCCTGTGCTGCTCTAAGAGCAGACGCCTGTGCTCCTGTCCCGCACATTCCAATTCCATGTTACGCTGCTGTTACAGAACAGGTAGTGACGGTGATGAACGTGGGCTGTGACTATCACTGGCTCTCTGCATGTCTGGTTTAAGTCCTTATCTCTCTACTTGGCGATATCACAACCTACTAATTAGTGAGAGGTGGGTACCTTGTATATTGCGAATTTGCAGTTTGAAAGCTCCGAAAGCTGGGAGCACACCCTTACCAAGGGTTACAATGCAATACCGTATCTGAAACTCTGGAGGTGGTGAAGAAATAAGCTAAAGGCTAGGTAAATCCAGACAATACACACCAATAAATGAAACTTACTTGAATATATTCAATCTCTTCGTCTGACATAAGTTTCCTTCTGTATTTCTGAGGTAAGGTTCTTGCTAATTCAGAAGTGTCCGGTGTACCTGGTACTCTACTAACAGGTGAAATATTTTGGAAGGCTGGTGATCTGCCTCCTCCAGACTCCTGTGCTTCTGAAGCATGGAGAGATGGCACCGTTGCTTGTAGAGATTCCTGTACTGAAACCCAGATCGCAAAACCATTTACAGAGCTACAACAAGACTGTAAAATTAATTTATGAGCAGCCAGTGAAAGTCACCAGTTATTGTCAATGTTCTTCATTGTAACAAACACTTAAAGGAATTAAGACGCTCTACTTCTCACGGCCTGTTTTTATTGTT